GCAAAAAATGTTAGTTCTCTTAATTTATAATAACACTTACTATATCTTGTACCTACAAGTGTAATCGTGCAGAGTTTAATGCAAGATGTTTATCATCTTCAATGTAGCAAGGTGTAATGTGAATGTTACATTGATACTTAGACTTAATTTGCATGATAATATCGGCTAGTTCGATCTCATCGGTAGTAAGTTTGGATTCTTTAGGTACAAGATTCGATTTTGATTTTTTAGTTTTTAATTTTGGTATATCTTCATCCGAATTACTGGATTCTTCAATTGAATTCTATAAATATATATACTGTTAAAAATGTATACGTACGTAGTACATAATTTATTATAACTTATTAAAATGTACGTACTTTACTTTTTCTTTTTTTATTACTTTTTTTATTATTAGGTGCAACATTTAATACCATAAATTTACTTGATTTCTCTATTTTTTGCATTCACTAATAAACGCATTATAGTCATCTTTGTCATCTAAAGCCATTGCTTGTCCACGACCATTAATTTTATAAGAGACTTGAATGTTATTTTTATTAAAATCATTATTATTAATGCATTCTTGAATATGCTTAATTAGTTTATCTTGAAAACGTCAAAATCATCGGATTCAATTGTGAACCATTTTGCTGGTATTGGATCGGATTTACTAACTTTAATTATAACCTTCACATTAACTTTGAATTTTGAATCAAAATTAGAATCTTCTTCCGATGAAACTGAGCCCATTGAAAAGTCAGAATCATCATCACTAATACTTATAGCCGAAGAAACGTCTGTATTTTTAAACCCTTTTTTAGTGTAATTGCTAATACTTTTTTTAGCATGATTGCTAGTACTTTTAGTAGTTGAAGAAACGTCTGTATCGTTAAAGTTTTTTTTAACACAATTATATCGCGAATGACATGTTAAACACAAATTAAAATTAAACAATTGATTAAAATCACAGTTATATACAAAAAGACGATTATAATTTTGAAGGAATAGTTTTTGATTTGTTTGGATATCATTAGGATTGTTGAGGAGTTTTATTATGAAGTGGTTTTTGATAAGTATCGCACTCACATAAGTCTTGAGTTAAGTCAGTAAAACAGAATAAACACTGTTGGCATGAAAAATATATTTCAATTCTATAAAGTGTCATTTTAGTTTTTTTTTTTTTTTTTTTTTTACACGGCGATTTATTGGGGTGTTACACACCAAATGATTTACAAACATAGTTCATATATATAATAAAATCAAATTGATAGGATTTTATATTGGGAAATTTAACAAT